AACAAAAATGCTATATCCACCAAAAAGTTACACTGAAACACGTGAAAACCACCACGTTGGACCGATTGAAAATAGACATAAATGGACGCCCGTCCAAATTAGCAGGACGGGCGTCCATCTCTATGGATGGGTGTTCATATTATATGGACGCCCGTCCTGCTAATTTGGACAGGCGTCCATAGAGATGGATGCCAGTCCTGCTAATTTGGACGGGCGTCCATCATATAGGGACGGGCGTCCCTAAATGATGGACGACCGTCCCCAGTTTGTAAAATTTTTTTATTATTAAATTTTTTTTTTTTTTTATAAATGTAATGTAAATATGGACGGCCGTCCCTAGTAGATGGACATCTACTAGGGACGGCCGTCCAAACTACATGGACGCCAGTCCATCTACTAGGGACAGCAGTCCAAAGTATTCTAGACGGTCGTCCAATGTACATGGACGGCCGTCCAAAATACATGGACTGGCGTCCATATTTGTTGAAATTTTTTTTTTTTAATTAATAATAACGAATGGCTTGTCTAATACGCTTCATTTTTAAGCGCCAAATTTTTTTCTTCTCTTCTCCTTCATCTTCGTCATTTGTTTTTCTTCTGTTCTTCGTCTACGCCATTTGGTTTTCTTAGCTTCTCCTTCGTTGCGTGTTGTGATTCCTTGACGCCGGTTGCTTCCTCAACAGCCAAGCACTAGCAGCAATATCTCGTCCAAGCACCAGCAGCAATATCTCGTTCTACAGAGATAACCTTCAAACAAAAGTAAATATCAAAACTGTTAAAGCTAGGATTTGTTCGTTAAGGTAAAGAATTTTTGACTTATTTTATATATTCATTTTGTTTCCTATTCTATTTTCGATTGAATATATGTTTGATAGATAATATTTGTTGGTGATGGATTGAATAGATGTTTGATAGATAATATTTGTTGGTGATAGTTGTGAACTAGATTCGTAAACGCAAAAACTGGTATTAGTTATGCATGAAATAACTGAATATGGAAGAGTCCAGTTTGCCTCGTTTCAATGATGTTGAGGTAAATTGTTTTAGAAACTTTTTTAAATATGGTGTATTGTATTGTTTATTATGATGTGTTCACATTCTAATTTTATTTATTATAAAACCCTTGAATCAGGAAAATGAATGTGATGAATTAGAAGATACGGGATGTGCAGAGGAAGAAGTGGAGCCTCATATTGGANACAATATTGAATTCCATTTGTAGATGCTTAAAAACCGCTTTTATGGAGATTGAGACAATCACTTTTATATTCCAATTTGTGCTTACAGGAAATTGATAGGTAGTATTTAATTTAGAAAGCGAAGATGGATCGATGGAGCATTGGAATTCATGTATTTCATTCAAAGATTTCAACTAGCTGGAATTGCCTTCTGACTGATACTAGTAATAGTATTGGTTCTTTCAGATTTTTCTCAATCTCAGTTGCTGTTTTCTACTTTATTCTTTAAATTAACAACTGTCCAACTTGTTACAATGAAAAATTAATTATATATTACCCACTTTTTGTACCCAATTATAAATTAATTAGCAAAATAATTCGTACACATCAGTCAATCTTTTGTTGGAGTCCACTTCAAAGATAACGGGCCACACAGATACATTTGGGAAGCCAATGAAAGATTTCTCTAAATATTTAATTCCTAATTAGGTTTAAGCTTACTAAAAAATTATCTTTATAATATTAGGTTTTACTCTACAAATTTAGTATATAAACTTTTTTTTTCCCTTGTATATAAATGATACCAAATTATAGGATAAATTACTTTTACTATAACAAGAGAGGTGAGATAATATTTCAATAATATTGATTCTATTAGATGTAATCTGTTAATCGGTGAACCAAAATAAATCACAAGTATATTTTTTTCTCTTTTCTTGATTGATATTTGTGTATGTTTTCTGTCTTGATTTCGTAGTACCCTAGATTGTTTCACCCTTCTATACTGATCCGAATATATATATATATATATATATATAGTGTGTGTGTGTGTGTGTGAGAGAGAGAGAGAGAGAGAGAGAGAGAGAGAGATTCATGTATACATGCAGTATTGTCAAGATTTATTCTATAAATTTACTTAAGTGAAAACTTTACATTAGTGGAAGAGAATCCGATTTCAATGAACTACTTATTATTCATTTGAAAATGGAAGAAAAGTCGTATTTGTACTTTGTAGAACTACATGTATCTTTCAACATTTTTGTCCGTTAATTTCTATGTTGATGAGTGATTTTGACACCAATGATCTCGCACGTGTAAAGTGCTAAGCAGATTTTAGAAATTACACGTAATTAATTTTGAGAGTTGTGCTGACATATGTTTGTAGAAATATAAATAAAAGATTGACAAACGAGATTTTTATAATAGTTCGGATGCTTAAAGCGAATCTTACGTCCACTGTTATTTTATTATTTCTGACTATTTTTCTGATATTACCTGTAAGGTATACAAAAATAGAGTAATGTTTTTTTTTACAGAAATAAATAATGATTGAAGCTCAAATGTATGTTCAACTCTCATATGTCCAACCTCCTCATTTCATGAAGAGAATTGCTAATTTATACACATTTGAACTCAACGTAATGAGTGCTTTTACAAGTTGCCTCGACATATGAAAAGCTCTCATTCATCCTGATATTTTATTTTGATAAATGTGGGACAAGTGTTATATTATATTTCTTTGAGGCGGTTTGAGTTTTGATAACTAATACCATTTTGCCTTTAAGTGTTTGTTGAGATCTGATTGGTGGTGTTAACATCAGTTTGGTAGTGTTAATATCAGTGTGTATTTTTAGCATAACATTTACAACAATGTTCGAATATAACGAATAATTATATAAAGTATAAACAATTTCCTCACACGTATAAGCTAAGTTTGGCGTAACCACCGTGCTGATTCCATGCATGTTATGTTAAGTCTGCATCACAAGCTTCTTTAGTTCTTTTAATTCTATTTCAAGATATAACAGAATGTGTTCGATCTTATTGCATTATTAAATAAATAAATAATTCAGAGATGAGTAGAAGCGTGAGACAACTAAACAGCTTACAATCAACATTTGTTGTGTAGTGATTTGTATATATTAAAATATAATTTTTGTTGAAGGTTCTATGAGTTCTTGAGTTTGAGTTTTTCTAAGTATTAATATAGGTAGTTATTAAAGTTCTTATCCAACAGATAATTTTAAAGCTCTACAATTAGTTGAGATACATACAAATTGATTTGGACAAATAAATAAATAAAATATATATATAGCTTTTGTCTTTTGTCGTTTGTCTTTTGTATTTATGAAGCAAAGAATAATAGTATCTCATCTTCAATCATTGTTGCTAAACAAATCTCCTCATCAATCAATAATTTTTTTTCCATTATTTTTGGCGTTCGGTGGAAATTATTGACTAATATTTTTATAATTTAATCAAAGAATATAGAAAATAATAAAATAGTGTTTTGTTTTTTGTAAGAATTATTGTCCAACAGATTAGGGAACCCCATTTTGTGAATGACCCAAGATAAGTAAGGGAACCCCATTTTTGTGAATGGCTTTCATTTCACCACTCCAGTCTTCATCAACTTTTTTGTGCATCCCTTAATTAGTGAAGTGAAGTGGTCATATACAGAACAGAACATAACTTTTTATTGCAATTTCTTCTATTATTATTATTATTATTATTATTATTATTATTATTATTCGTTGTCCATAAAAATGCGTACACATTTCAATCCAAGTAGTTAACCAATTAGAGAATTTTGATTAAATTAATCGTAATTATGGTAAACTCTAATTTAAGTTACAATTAATGTCCCATTCTGTGTGTTGCTTATATTGCCACGTGTAGAGGACAAAATGAATCTGCCTCCACTTGATTATTTTATATCAAGTTAATCTTCGTTTGGTCGATTAATTACTAACACTCTTGGTGGGGAGAAATATATTTTATTTAATTCTTTATAATTTGTATAATATTTTTTATGAACATCCTTTAAAGCTAATAATATTTGTCTGATTCGCCCGAGTGAGCAAACACATGGTGATGATGAAGATTTCTGCAGAGTTAGACCATGGAATTTTTCGATATCGCCAAAAAATGAACTCTTTCTACAAGCATGCACTGTATAATTTAGAATCTTTCGATTGTATTTTCGATAAAGATCAAAATTAAAGTTCACATATTTATTTATATTAACACAACTATATAATAAAAAGCACATGCACATTTAAATTAAATTAGAGTTGTTCATGTACCATGTATAAAAATTACATATTTAAATTAATATATGATTCATTCTAATCCAAACCAAAATGAGATTTTCAAAGGGAAACGCGTTTCCTTTCGGTTGCCACCAAATATTAATTACTAATTAAACAAAAGAGTAATTAAGAGCATCTTAGTGTTCAAGCTTTATTAATTACACATCTGGAAAGGAACTGTTGTTACTTTTTCACGAGAAGAGAGGTGCAGAAAAAACGAAGAAAATTTAATTAAATTAAAACAAGTGCACGTCCAATTCATGAGGGAAGTGAAATTATTGAATTGAATTCAAAGATACTGTCATAAACAGAGTTGAGTGTCTTTAGCTAATAACCTTTCATTCCTCAGTTATTGGGAACCAAATGAGAGAATTAGATACTGCATGTCCACCCATCAATGGCAATAATCGTATTAAGCACATAATCATCAAGAACGATTGAGTGGTGACACCATTTCTTGTTCACTAAAAAAAAAAAGGATTATTAAACATTTGACTGGTAAAATAAATAATTTATTAATTAATTAATAATATCATGTCCTCTCTCCATTGCTCATTCACTTCTTTCTTGTTTATGGGAATGAATGATGAAAGGAACATATTCGGTTACAATAACGATGGATGAGAAGCCATACACGTGAGAATTTTGAGTCACAAGTGGTCCTTTTCTACAGATAAACATAATAATACTAATTTCTTCATCACTTCTCCAACTGCTATATAAGCAATGGAGCTCGATCCAAGATATGCACACAAGTAGATTTACTTCAATTCCCTTCTTCATTTAGAGGAGTTGTTGTTATTGTACCCTCTTTTCTAGAAAGGAGAGTTTCTGAAAGCTCCAGAGAGCTAGCCATTCTGCACGTAGAAGGGGTGACCATGAAGGTATGAGTCTACAGAAACGTTTTGTGTTTAAATTACATTTCATGGCATTCATTAACATCCCGTTCAGCATTAGCTCCATGCGTGGTTTAGCTCAGGAAAAAGCGAACTTTTGAAACTATCATATCTCCGAAAAATATACAACTGCAAGCTTGCTTTTGGCAGATTAGTGTTTATTCTAATATAGATTACCAACTTCTACCCAACTAACAATAACTTGTAAAACAATACCAAAACTTGTTAATTGCTGGTATTAATGTTTCATTAGTATAGAGAAAGCAAGATAGCTACGCAAATGAACTACTTGTGTGAGAAGATATAATAGAAATAAAAAACTGTAAGTGGGCTAAAAAACAGAGATATTTTGTTGGGGATATTGACTGCAGAAACAATTTCGGTTATTGTTACTGTAGAGAAATGAAAAGCAGGGCAGTGAGAAAGTGATCGTGTGGGGTAGAGCCAAATGGTGGGAAAGATTTGCAAAACCTTTTATTACAGAAAGAAACAGCTCCGAAGGTGGTGAAGTTTTTGGGTCAAACTGGTGGTTGACTACACGGTTGTAGTCTGTGTGTGTTTTACACCACGTGGCCCTTGGCTTATTGCTTCTCATCAGTTATATATACCCCAGTTCCATGCCTCGTTTTGTACACAGAATTCAATTCATTTCTTTTTCTCCCGCAGAAAAATAACATTAATTGTTTGGTTCTATTTCTCTTTCGAGCTATAGCTAGCTAGCTAGCCTACTCATCTTGAGTAAGAGCTCTGGATCCTTTTGAGTTTCTGTGACTCCTGAAAGGTGTGGAGATGAAAATCCGAGTGTCAGTTGAATCAAGTCATAACTAAACTTAGATCCATCAAAGAAACAAGACTGATATCTCTTCTTTTCAACTTTTCTTAGAAGCTTGCCTTTGTTGATTTTCATTTACAGTACACAAACATTGAGTTACTGAATAATTTTTAAGTAGAGTTGCTTAAAGAAAGGCTTATTTTTCGTGCTCTCTGTGATAACAAAGATGGGTGAGAACACTGGCAACAAGAACCACCTTCATCAGAACCAAGTTTTTGATCTTTCCCTTGACGTGCATGCTCAAGGCGGCTCCAAGTGCTTCGATGATGATGGCCGCCTCAAGCGAACTGGTAATTTACTTTTCTTAAAGCAAAAAGTAAATATGTTATGCTTTTGATAAGTAGATTCAGTTAACGTGTTTATTAATGATTCTTCTTTTTATGTTTTGTTTTTGAACCAGGTAATGTTTGGACCGCAAGTGCTCACATAATAACAGCTGTCATAGGGTCGGGAGTTCTGTCCCTGGCTTGGGCCACAGCTCAGCTGGGATGGATTGCGGGGCCAACTGTCATGTTCTTGTTCTCTTTTGTCACTTATTACACTTCTACTCTTCTGGCTGCTTGTTACCGTTCAGTGGATCCTATCAATGGAAAGAGAAACTATACTTACATGGACGCTGTTCGATCCAACCTTGGTAAATTTCACCACTGTCAAAATATTTAACAATTAAGCAACTCGGGTTCACTCGAATATCTAAAGTACTTTTCCCCTTTTTTTTCCCACAGGTGGGTTTAAATTTAAGATATGTGGGCTTGTTCAATACCTGAATCTTTTTGGTGTTGCCATTGGCTACACAATTGCCTCATCTATAAGCATGATGTAAGTTTTATTTTATTTTTTTTTCTATTTGTTTTTTTTTTTTTTTTTCTTTTTTAAAACTAAGCATTCTAAATAGAATTTTATGGTTGTTGTTTTAGTGGCTTAATGAATCTTCTATTTTTTGGTCAATCAGGGCTATCGAGAGGTCAAACTGTTTCCACAGTAGCGGTGGCAAGAATCTATGCCATATGAATAGCAATCCATATATGATTGGTTTTGGCGTGGCACAAATTATTTTCTCTCAAATTCCTGACTTTGATCAGTTATGGTGGCTCTCCATTGTTGCTGCAGTCATGTCCTTCACTTACTCAACAATTGGTCTCGGTCTTGGCATTGGTAAAGTTGCAGGTAATATGGCTATCTGCATCTGTAGTTGCAAATTTTATACTATGCTTGGATTTAATTTGCAGGAAGTTGGTGGTTATGGAAAAGCTAACTTAAGTTTTTTTTGTTTACTTTATTTCCAGAAAGTGGAACTTTAAAGGGAAGTTTAACTGGTATAAGCATTGGAACTGTTACTGAAACCCAAAAGATATGGAGGAGCTTCCAAGCACTCGGAGACATAGCTTTTGCTTATTCTTACTCCATCATCCTCATTGAAATTCAGGTATATATATATCTTCATTTTCTAATAAATACCAAAACAGAAAGTGTTTGATATTTTTTTTTCTTTTGGGATAATTTAGATGCTGATATAAACTAATGAATAATTGGTATGTAACAGGACACAGTAAAATCCCCACCATCAGAAACAACGACAATGAAAAAGGCATCACTAGTAAGTGTTGGAGTAACAACTCTATTCTACATGCTGTGTGGCTGCTTTGGCTATGCTGCCTTTGGAGACTTATCACCTGGAAATCTCCTCACTGGTTTCGGTTTCTATAACCCTTACTGGCTGCTTGACATAGCCAATGCAGCCATTGTTATCCACCTTGTTGGTGCATACCAAGTTTACTGCCAGCCCCTCTTTGCATTCATCGAGAAACAAGCTGCTGCAAGATTCCCAGACAGTGAATTTATCACCAAGGAAATTAAAATCCCAATCCCAGGATTTAGATCCTTCAGTCTCAATCTCTTCCGTTTGGTCTGGAGGACAATTTTCGTGATCCTAACCACTGTGATTTCGATGCTTCTTCCATTCTTTAACGACGTAGTTGGTCTCCTTGGAGCTCTAGGATTTTGGCCACTCACAGTCTACTTCCCTGTTGAGATGTACATAGCACAAAAGAAGATACCAAAGTGGAGCACCAAATGGCTTTGCCTGCAAATCCTAAGTTTTGCTTGCCTTGTTATCACTATAGCTGCCGCTGCCGGGTCTATTGCAGGAGTTGTTCTTGACCTTAAGTCTTATAAGCCCTTCTCGACCAGCTACTAATTCAGTTGAATCGAAATGGTAGTCGCCATTCATCAACATTTTCCAAGACAAGGAAGAATTTGATTAGGATTTTCAGTTCTTGTTCATGTTCATATCACCTAAACAGTCGTGTCACTTTGTATTGCTCTTGGTTTGTTGTTGTTTCTTTTTCATCTTTAATCAAACGAAGCAGGACCAACGTATCCATGGACGTAATAATTCCTGCGTCCCCATTTAAGCTATGTGTAACTGTGTCTATTTTCCAAATGCAAAAATACAAAAAGTTAATCCAATTAATTCTAGTTTGTCTCTGTCTCTGTTCATTTATTGTACAATTATATCTATTAACTTCTCATGACACAACTGGCCACCAACAAATCAGCCATCAAATTAATACCATCCAGATAATTGGCAGGATAATGTCCATCTATCTTCCAGCTACTGGAATACATAAATAGCAACTTGTAATCGAACTCCCCTTTATCTATTTTGTCTATGCTGAAATGATATGCATGGCACATATGCTAACTTTCTTTGAACCATTCTAAGTGCCCATTTTTAGTTCGCTCTCAAAAAGAGTAAAAAAAAACACATGGGTCAGTCTGCGGGACCATTAAATGCCATGTTCTGAAACAATTTCGGATTGCAATCTCTGCTGTGACTGAAGAAGAAACTTAATCTAGTCATATCTTCAACAATAAGTTCAAATGGGAGGATATGAGAGATGGGTCAGATTCGGAATCGCTTGAGTTGTTACAGTAAAAAGAGTGAGCATTCTTTTGAATTATAATCTCTAATCTCCACCCACCAAACAGTACGACTGTTCCCACCATCAACAATCAATATGAGAAATGGGTGGTGCCAGTGCGAGTTATTAAAGATGAGAAGTGATAGATTCTCCTCTCCTATGTCCCTATAAAGATTGAAAAGTACTGGGAATTATATGGGGAGTATAACGCCTTTTCTTTACTTGAAAATAACATTTTGTTTTAACTCACCTGGAGATTCATGAACCCTTAGCAGAAAGGTAAAGAGATTAGACAAAAAGAAATGTAAAAAGAATCTACTGATAAATTATGGAAATTTCTGCCAATAATTAACCAGCTTTAAATGTATGGCTATCAGATGTTTCCGCAAACAAATGGAGTAAAACTGGAAGGGAATTTGGTACTTCAAACTTGCAGCTTCTTTTTCTTTCGGTTATTGGTTCTAAATGAACCTCTTGTCTCTTCAAACTATTTAGTCTTCTCACCAAGAACATCAATCAGTAACTTAGACAAGCTATAACTTGACAAGGATTCTTACTTGAAATTCAAGGTAAAATAACTTTCACCGTTATTGCGGTACTGAATTCTAATGAGTTCACAAATGTTCATGAAAACAGATTGTTTAGTGGAGAGCCTTAGGCATGGGACCCGAAAATTGTTTCAAAACATAGAAATTTGCCCGCTTGCAACATTGAATGCTCTTTAGCTTTCCTCAAACAATAATAATATCTATTAGCTATAAAATGATTCTCATGTTATCACGATAACACTATCCAAAACATGATCAATGTCAAGATAACACTGTTAAAAACATGATTTGATCATGTTTAGCGTTAGATTGGCAATGGAATGTTGATTGAATGTAAATGATAAAATATTTATAAAAAAGATCAATTCAAGATTTAGAATTGACCCCACTAGATCCAGAAACTCTAAATGTATAGTATAGATAGGTAAGTTTAATATCATTCTGGAATATGGATCTTTGGAATCTCCAAGGGACAATTGTTGTATATCCAATGACAATATAAAAATAAAATAAAATAAAAGTTTCAAAATGGTTTCTTTTCACTCAATTTCTGATAACTGAACAGGAAAATCTTGATGGGTTTCATGTGCTTCAGATAGTGGTCTTACTGTGGAGAAGAAAATATGAAAAAGGAGATATAATAATTTATGTGAAAGACTAATATTGGTGGAAGAAGCGGCTGTAGTGGGGAGTGCCACCACCCTAGCGCCGCCAACGGAGATTCACGCCACGTAAGCAGTCTGCGGTGTGGGCCGAAAGAATCAACGCCATCAGAAATTAGTGGGTAGGTGAATGTGGATGACCATAGATAACTTCTCTGGTTTTCCCTGAAGTAACAATAAAATACACTAAATAATGTTTATCTTTTCTGTTTATTGTGGAGATTAAAGAGAAGAATCTCCAAGAATTAAGGGGAGGTGATTCTTCCACCAATTGTGAGAGATTCAATTATATTTAATTAAATCATTTTGTTCCAAGACAAAGCATTAAGTAGAGTCCAATTCTGACTTGATTAGTTTCTGGAGTAATGATCCTCGAAACATCCCATGACAGTTCGGTGATGCATTAATAGTAATTAATGACATATTAACAAGTAATGGGTTTATTTCATATCAAATTATTTATAAATCTTGGTTAAAATTTGGCTTATACAAGTTTGATAACACTAACCACCATTAGATGGCCGAGTAGTCAATTAAGACTCTTGGGTGTATTATTCAAGAGGTCATGAATTCGATTCATCTCGACTGTTAATAGGGTGGTCATTGGAGATTTACCCGGTTGTTAACTTTAGAGTCTCAGAGAATTAGTCGAGGTGTGCACAAACTGGTTTGGATACCTCCGGTCGCAAAAAAAAAAAAAAAGTTCAATAGCACCTCTAATTAATTCCCATAAAAAAAAAAAAAAAAAATCCTGATGTTTTTTGAGTTTCAGGTTAATATTCCAAGAGATTGACTTGAAATAGTTGTTAATATTAGTAGAGTCTTTGATTTTGCAATAGATTTAATTAAAAATAATGCTAAAGTTTCCACCAACTAAATTAAAAACACCATATTTCAACCCAAATTTGATTTTGAGTCACTTGCTTTATTTGATATTGAAATTTTGTGTCCTTGTTCAGAGAAAGTTTTTGCGAATTCTTGCTGAAATTCTTTTCAGTTATTATGACAAGCCCCCCACGCTCCTTCAATTCATCATATTTCAACTGTCGGCTTCTAATTTTCTTCGGATTTGTGAATCCAAATCATAATTAATGTACCATGAAATGAATAACTTGATGTATTAATTTTCTTTGCTTCATAATTCATCCTCTCTCCTTTCCTTGCACTCTTGTGCTACAAAATATGTGACAAATTCTTTGTACCAAATCATTGCCTTAAGCATAAAATCAAGGGTTGTTACCAAATACAAATTCCAATTTTTTGTTACATTACATGTATAACAAAATGTTGAAGTGAAGTAACATACAAAAATTATAGACAGATGGACATGATGCAACATTAATTGAATTGTGAAATAAAAAGGCTAATTTTGTAAATAAATAAGGATGGTATGGTAATATAATAAAAATAACATATGAATTTATATTCTTAACATTTATATTGAAATTCTAATACATTTACCTCCCTTTGATTTTCCAAAATCAACATTAGGTCCAAACGTTTGACATGTTACAAAATTACCTCCCTTACCATTAATTTCTGTTGTCAAAGCTTGCATAAGATAATGTAATGACTAAAATACCCTTGACACAAAAGCTTTCAATCATTTTTATATGACAATGTGTCTTGTCAACCTTAATACAACCCAACTTCTAAATAACGAAAATGTCCTTATGTGTGCTTCAAATTACGTGTTAAAAGTGACCATTTTGTTACCGTTGTGAATTGGACATTTGAATTTTTCTAGAAACATGCAGTATAATAGGGCTAGGGCATTACTCCACTTATGAATCAATGAAAACACCATGCACATTAAAAAGAAGCATTATAGTTCATATTTCGTAGATCAAGGTTATAAGGGAAGTATCAAGTATCAAGGATCAACACAAGTTATTGAAAATGTCAGAAGGAAAATCTACAAAACGTAATTAATGGTGGTCTAATCGAGTTCAAGAATCAAAGCTGCAGATGTGCATTTTGTGTTGGTCTTCGAATTTCAGAGAGCCATGATAATCCAAACAAGCAATATTTCATTCGTGTAGAATGAAATTATGGGGGTTTTTTTGGGTTTTGGACACCAACAACAAAGGAGATGTAATGCAAATTATTGTTTTTCATTTCACAACAATGAAATTGAATGCAATGAAGTTAAACAGAACTAGAAAATTCATATCACCATTGAACGAAGTAATATCATCCATTGTATCAAATAGTGGCATGCAGTGTCTCACAAAATCACACCATCAATGTTTTCAACCATAACCAGTTTAGCATGAATAAAAAATATTTGCATTCATTCACTTATAGTAACACAACATGATTTGTTAAAGAATGCATCAACTGCATCCGTTAACTTCTACATGTTTACCAAAACAAAACATGTAAATTGATTTGTTAAAGAATACAATGGTCCTAAACGTCCAAAAAAGTCATATGCAACATAACCTCAATTGAAACAAATATCATAAACAAGAAAATTTCATCTTACAATAAATAACCAACAGTATCGTTCAACAAAATAATTAAGAGTAAATGGTTAAACATGTTGCTCTTCCTAATGTTCAACTAACATAAAAGTATAACAAGTGTTAAAAGATCACCAACAATACCCAAATAAGTGTTAAAAGATCACCAACAATACCCAGATAAGTTTCAAAACCATTGTTTCAGTAAGTATTCATGCATAAAACTTAATTCACCAAGAAGTTGAGGTTAGATGTTTTGCACTAGGGGATTATGCTTGGCTTCTTCATTTGTCAATATCCTCGGTCTTAAGTAAAAGATTTGTCTTTCTCCCGCTAAAAATATGTGGTCGGTGTATACCTTGTTTTCTGAAATCAATTTTTACTATTTGATTTTGACTTGATCAGAACATGGATATTAGTATCCTACAATACTTGATACATATCATACAATACGATTCGATACAGGTCGTCAACGATACGTATCAAATAGTGTATTCTAAACCTTTCGATACATTGATATGTATCCTACAATACGTTACGTATCCATTCGTATCCTTAAAAATATCGATACAAATTGATACGACTTTATTAATTTGGGCTAAAGGCCCAAAAAAAAAATTCAGGTCGAAACTAGGTCACCCAACCTGATTCACTAGAACCTACCCAAATTTACCCATTTTGCATGGAGAAAGTGAAGAGGAACATGTATTACCCATTTTGTATGATTATGATAATACAGGTGGAGATATAGATATTGACATTGACATTGATCTTAGAAATGATACGAATGGTTGAGAGAAAAAAATATGGATTCTTAATTTTGTAATTAATTTTGATTATGTAATACCATAATTTAAAGCCAATAATACCACAAAATTCTTTAATTCA